ACAAGCTTTATAACTAATTGTTTGGTAATACAACAATCCGTAGGCTAATTGCGCTTATTTAAGAGACAGTGAAAACACATTTAATAATAATAAAGGACCCTACCCAGCCTTTACAACACATTTCCTTTACTAAAGTTACATAAAATATTTTCAGCTATTGTCGTTTATATTGTACGAACATTGATATTTGGTATACAATATAATATTCAGAGTTAAATAAACAATTATTCTAGCACCATCTATTTCATGAAATATTCTTTAAGGTGGAAATAATTCATAGCCAAGATGTGCACAAATTGAGAACATTAATTAAGATTATTTTATAATGTTGCTTAAATTGTACGAATATCGATATTTCAAATACAATATCATATTCAGAGTTAATTAGGCATTTTTATCTGGCACAGTCTATTTCATGAATTATTCACTAAAATGAAAATAATTCATAGCCAAACTGTGCATACATAGCAATAACATTTTACAATTATCAATATTAACGCAATTTTTACTAAATTCAATGAAAAACTTCAAGAAATGAAATCATATGGTTGGTTTTTAAAATATTCAAATATCCCTCCTACATTGTAATTTGGGCTGAACCCCATCAACAACGTTTACGCTTTTCAACACTAACACAAATTTGTGTCTGCTGCATCGATGACACATTCATTCAACTAATCTAACCTCACTTTTTTTCAATGAAGCCATCAAATACCGACAGATGCTCCCTAAAACTTAATTTAATCCTTGAAATACTATGAAATTCTTAAAAAATCCTTATCACATTGCGAATATATGCCATAAACTTTAAATTTTACTTACATTTTCATTGTTCCTTTGGGTCCCAAATTGGTTCGCATGACATCTTGCAAGCCTTTGGCAGCCGAGATGTTAATTGCTAAGGCATTTGCAGCACGAGCGAACTCAGCTTTAGGATTCAATAAACTAATTGAAGCCATGTTTGTGTTTTTTTAGTGGAGAATTACTTCAAAAAGAGGTTTCTTTGGATTTTTTTAATAATTTTACACGCTCTAATGAAGATTCTTCCAGAGTAGAGCCGCTGATGACCAATTCAACTTTACACAAAACCTCGGAACAAATGTGCAGATGTCAAATGACTTGTTGGGGTGTTCAGTGCGAGTAAGTTGAACAACAATGAGTGTGTTCAGTGTGATTTGTAGAACAGAGTTGTGTTTGTTTGCTGTTTAGGTTTACAATTGAGTGTTTCTTTTATGGCGGCGGATGGCAATATTCAATTTGCACTGACTTATTTAAAAAAAATAGTTAAAATTTACTTTTTAGGGGGGAAATTTAAATGCACCATAAAATTCCGTTTATAGGATATTGGAATGAAACGACATTTTTTATATCACTCATTTTGAGCATTATCGAAAATATTTTTGACTTAATTTTACCTTACTGGCACATCTCAGCAAATAAAATATGCTGACACCAACATAATTTATTGGGGGAAAATCCATAATTCCTGAGATAAGGAGTTACAATATTCCAAAAATACCCCCACTTTTTATAAAATATCTTTAGAACTACCACTCAAAATCGTTAACGACATTAAATGTTGGCTATTTAGAGAATTAGACTTAAATGAAAATTATTTTCGCATAGTCCACATTTTCCACTTGTCCATAGGAAAAAGTATTAAAACTCTGTGGAAGGCCATCTATTTAGAAACATAATTGAAATAATTAGAAAATGCCGTTCGTGAATCTGAATTGTCTACTCGTCTTAAAAGAGAAAGGCTTAAAATCCCTGGCCGAAACCCGGCTATATTTATTATATTTAAAATCAAAATAAATTCAGTTCACGTAGCCCAATTTCCATCTGTTCCTTCAAGAATTTATAAAACTCCCGGACCCCTATTTTGATAGAATTTGTAATTATAAGAAAATTCTTTGCCAATAGTAAAATTTTCTACCTGTCCAAAGGAGAAAGGCTTCATTTCCCAGCCGAAATTTAAATTAAGGACCCCCTATTTAAAAAAATTGGAAATACAATTCTGTTCGACTAAGGCTCTTTTCTTAAATCCCCTGCCGAATTATTTATAATACGGCTAAAATCAATCATTATCATTATAACTAGACCTCGGATTTTGCATATTTGCATATTTTTTAATAATGAAGATATCGAAATTCTGATTGGACACAAATTCGTTTCAAAGGATTTAGAATTATTTGAAGGGTTCATATTTTTTAATTTTTTGCATATTTGCATATTTTGCATATGCACGAGATATGCAAAAAATATGCAAAATATGCAAAAAATATGCAAAATATGCAAAAAATATGCAAAATATGCAAAATATATGCAAAATATGCAAAAAATATGCAAAATATGCTAGGTCGATATGCAATAAATATGCAAAATATATGCATAAAATATGCAAAATATAGGCCAAATATGCAAAATATATGCTAAAATATGCAAAAATATGCAAAAAATACGCACGGTATGCTAGGTCGATATGCGATAAATATGCAAAATATATGCAAACATATGCAAAATATGCAAACATATGCAAAAATATGCAAAAATATGCAAAATATATGCAAAATATGCAAACATATGCAAACATATGCAAAATATGCAAAAATATGCAAAATATGGAAACATATGCAAAATATGCAAAATATATGCAAAATATATGCAAAATATGCAAAATATGCAAAAAATATGCACGGTATGCTAGGTCGATATGCGAGAAATATGCAAAAAATATGAAAAATATTATTAATATTTCACATATGCAATTATTTTAATCTCAAAAAAAAAAAAAAAAAAAAAACAAAACAAAAAAAAAAAACATTTTTCATGGTAGTTTTCGAATTTGTGTGCTTTCTTTATTTTTAACCTATAGAAATCTAATTTTGTATGTATGCGTTTCATGGTTCAACTGTTAGATTTTTGGGGCATTATGAAAAATTTGCTAAATATATGTATAAAACATGCAAACATATATAGCCGTTATATGGCGATATACTAAAACGTGGACCGATATATCCCATTTCCAATACCAAACATCCTAGGAGTAATAATAATATATGTGCAAAATTTCAAAGTTCTATCTTTAATAGTGCGACCTAGCATACCGTGCATATTTTTTGCATAATTTGCATATTTTTGCATATTTTGCATATTTTTGCATATTTTGCATATGTTTGCATATTTTTGCATATTTTGCATATGCTTGCATATTTTGCATATGCTTGCATATTTTTGCATATGTTTGCATATATTGCATATATTTTGCATATTTTGCATATTTTTGCATATTTTGCATATGTTTGCATATGTTTGCATATTTTTGCATATTTTTCATATTTTTGCATATTTTGCATATTTTGCATATTTTGCATATTTTTGCATATTTTGCATATGTTTGTATATTTTGCATATTTTTGCATATTTTGCATATGTTTGCATATTTTGCATATGTTTGCATATTTTTGCATATTTTGCATATTTTTGCATATTTTGCATATTTTTGCATATTTTTCATATTTTTGCATATTTTGCATATCGACAATGCATATTTTGTATATTTTTTGCATATATTTAACGCATATCGACCTAGCATACCGTGCATATTTTTTGCATATTTTGCATATTTTTTGCATATTTTGCATATTTTTTGCATATTTTGCATATTTTTTGCATATTTTTTGCATATTTTGCATATTTTTTGCATATATTTTGCATATTTTTTGCATATATTTTGCATATTTTTTGCATATTTTTGACATGACCCCAAATATCGATCAATTAAAGCATGAAACGCCTAAATACAAAATTTGAGCCCAATCGGATAAAGCATAAAAAATATGCAAAAATCCGAGGTCTACATATAACCCATCTTCGAACTTGACCTGACTATGGTCAATAGACCAAATCGACGGACTAGCATGACTAAATCCTATAAAATTGTATCCAGCTTATTTCAAAAGGTTACAAACTTTTATTATATAACCTGAATATAGGTGTGACGAGAAAGACAAAGAGATAATTAGAAGTGGGAGTTATAAAGAAGTAGTTAACGAGAATATGATCTGCATTCTGGGCGACTTAATGGTTTCCCTATACCTAAGGTGACCATACGTCCTCTTTTTTAGAGGACAATCATCTATTTTAACAGGATGTCATCTATAAATTGTATGTCCTCTATCTGTCATCTATTTTGTTGATTTGTCAGCCTTGTTATCTATATTTTTAAGCCTAGATCAATATTAATTTTTGTAAATTAAAACAAATTAATAAATAAATTTTATGAAATTTCAGTGCAATATTTAGAAAAGGTTTCCGAATTTTTAGACACATTTTCCAACCGAACTATTTGTTATTTTATATTTTAAGTTCTAAATGTGTAAAGAAATGTCCCAGAAAAATTATTACATTTTGCTAATTTCAGGGTTTCTGGACATGTTTTGCAATTGAATTGATTACAATTTGATATTTTGGGTTCTTTGTTTATAGGTGTCCCCAAAATTGGCTGTAATTTACTATTCCTTGTGGCTTATGTTGTAAAATATTTTTGGAAAACATAGTCGACATAAGCCTACTTCTTTGCTATGCTTATATACAGATCCCAAGATTATTCGCTCCGGACCAAAAATTTGACCCTTAACGACTTAACGACTTCTTAAAACTATTTTATATATTTATATGTAAATCTAAAGGTACATTTAATACAAATCACATTTTCCGTACCAACAAATTGTTTTTTTTTTAACTAGAATCAAGCCTGACAATTTAAAAAAGTATGTGAAGTGAAAGTACGTGGAAGTGAACTACAATTTAAGAGTTCCAAACGGAGTTACTTTAATCGAATGCTAAAGAATGTGACATTATTACAATTTCTTTTTTAGATATTCATTTTTATTCTAGCGAAAATAAGTTCCATAATAAAAATCATCATCTCTTCAACTTTTTTTAAATCTATGTTATATTTTTATTCAAAAGATCTTCAATGCACAGCTTCACATTCTTCATAATGCCTTAATTTCATTCAGTGGCCAAATTCTACAAATGGCTCTACTTCTTACAAGGCCCAATGGTATTGGACCATAATATCGAGAATCGGAGCTATTTGTACTATTGTCACCTTCAACCCATACAAACCCCTTTGGCACATATTCATCATTGAAGGTGGGTGTATATTTATCTACTGATTTACTCAGCGATTCATCTTCTTTACTCTCCGCCAGTTTTTCCGTAATGATTTTATCACCCGGCAGACCAATGACTCGTTTGCAAATGTACTGGTCAGGATTTGTGGGTGAAACAGCAATGACTATATCACCACGTTTGGGTTTGTGAAAACGTGTGGTTATTCTTTCCGTTAGTAGTATATTATTGGAGAACAGCGTGGGTTCCATTGAGGGACCATTGCACTGGAATTATACAAATTAAAATATATTAGTATAAGTATTAGTATATTGTAGATGTTATGAAGTCTTGTTCCATACATAATAGTTATTTTTTTACACATAATCACCTCAATTTATGTTCGAACATACCACAACAAAATCTCCTACATATTCAAAGAAACAATGTGTCACACACATATACTGGATGCTGTATTTGGCTATATCCTTAAGGTGGGATACAAATTTCATAGTTAATTATTAACCTATTTTTTTATTAATTTTCTAACTTATAATAAAGCTAACAATAACAAAAGACAGCTGTTTCCAGGGTAAAATTCTAAAGAACAGTCAGCTGATTATGAATCTAGTTGTCAAAATACATAAGGTATGTTCGATAACATTATAAAAGTAAATAAAGTTCTCGGCCATTTTAATAATGTTTACATGGTACAATTATAAAAGGTAACAGCAAATCCCAGCTGATTTGATTCCAACGTAGCACTAGTGTCAATATGAATTTGACAAATTATGTTTGGCTTAACTCTAGTTTAGTAAAAACGATCAGATTTTTCTGAAATTTTTTCCAGATGTAGGTATTTTTACCCTAATTATGGGGATATATTTTTTTCTTGGGGGACGTACCCGGTTACCCGGTTATTTGACCCGAAAGTTCGGGTCCGGGTACCCGCTTATACCCGGTTCTACGGATCCGATCAATACAAAATGGGTCTCATTTTAAAGGTAAAATACCTTTCCAATGAGTGGTGATATGATGGGGTTATCTCAAACCGTTTTGGAGACACAGCCAAATAACTGGATTTTGGACCCCTATTTTTTTGAAAAACTCCCTAAAAGTCGAACTTGGGTCCATTATAGTCCCTCTCCACAACCGACTCAAATGATAGACCACAATTTGCCCTTTCCAAAATGGTGTGATATGTGGCTGTATCTGCTGTGGATCAAAAGATATGGGCCTTAGAACCCTACAAAAACAAGAAAATTCTGTCGCGTAGCCGGTGTTGGTACCTGTCCATAGGAGAAAGTCTTAAATCCCCGGCCGAAGGCCGTCTACCCAAAAAACTATTCTATATAAAATGAGATTCTGTCGCGTAGCCGGTGTTGGTATCTGTCCATAGGAGAAAGTCTTAAATCCCCGGCCGAAGGCCGGCTACCCAGAAAACTATTCTATATAAAAGGAGAATCTGTCGCGTAGCCGGTGTTGGAACCTGTCCATAGGAGAAAGTCTTAAATCTCCGGCTACCCATAAAACTATTCTATATAAAAGGAGATTCTGTCGCGTAGCCGGTTTTGGTACCTGTCCATAGGAGAAAGTCTTAAATCCCCGGCCGAAGGCCGGCTACCCAAAAAACTATTCTATATAAAAGGAGATTCTGTCGCGTAGCCGGTGTTGGTATCTGTCCATAGGAGAAAGTCTTAAATCCCCGGCCGAAGGCCGGCTACCCAAAAAACTATTCTATATAAAATGAGATTCTGTCGCGTAGCCGGTGTTGGTATCTGTCCATAGGAGAAAGTCTTAAATCCCCGGCCGAAGGCCGGCTACCCAGAAAACTATTCTATATAAAAGGAGAATCTGTCGCGTAGCCGGTGTTGGAACCTGTCCATAGGAGAAAGTCTTAAATCTCCGGCTACCCATAAAACTATTCTATATAAAAGGAGATTCTGTCGCGTAGCCGGTGTTGGTACCTGTCCATAGGAGAAAGTCCTAAATCTCCGGCCGAAGGCCGGCTACCCAGAAAACTATTCTATATAAAAGGAGATTCTGTCGCGTAGCCGGTGTTGGTACCTGTCCATAGGAGAAAGTCTTAAATCCCCGGCCGAAGGCCGGCTACCCAAAAAACTATTCTATATAAAAGGAGATTCTGTCGCGTAGCCGGTGTTGGTATCTGTCCATAGGAGAAAGTCTTAAATCCCCGGCCGAAGGCCGGCTACCCAGAAAACTATTCTATATAAAAGGAGATTCCGTCGCGTAGCCGGTGTTGGTACCTGTCATATATCATATCTTTGCATTTGCATATAAGACATTCATGTTAATACTAAACATGAATTTGACATAGTCGGTTTGCAGGGTTCTAAGGTCCATATCTTTTGATCCACAATAGATACAACCACATGCCGTACCATTTTGGAAAGAGCAAATTGTAGTCTATCATTTAAGTAAGGAGTCGAGAGGGACCATAATGGACCCAAGTTCGACTTTTAGGGAGTTTTTCATAAAAATAGGGGTCCAAAATCCAGTTTTTTGGCTGTGACTCCAAAACGGTTTGAGATAACCCCATCATATCACCACTCATTGGAAAGGTAATTTTATAACCTTTAAAATGATACCCATTTTGTATTAATCGGATCCGTAGAACCGGGAATAACCGGGTACCCGGACCCGAACTTTCGGGTCAAATAACCGGGTAACCGGGTACGTCCCCCAAGAAAAAAAAACATTCCCATAATTAGGGTCAAAATACCTACCTCTGGAAAAAATTTCAAAAAAATCGGGTCGTTTTTACTAAACTAGAGTTGTTCCCGGTTTTCAATTTACTCAATCTGCCTGCTGGGCAAATTTGAGGAAATAAATCTTTGTTCATGGAATAACTCGCAATTCCCTGCATTTTCATATGTGTTACACATATAAGTGGCAATGGCTCAATTATAGGAAAGATGTGGAAGCGATAGAAATATAAATTTGATAGATTTTCATTCACGTTTTTCAAATTTTATTTTGAGGATTCGAAAATATTTAATTTTCAAAATAAATATAATTTGATAATAATTTGTTTGTTTGTTTACATTTTTCTGTCAAATGACGTCGACACTAGTAAAACTTACAACAATAAATTTCCATGTGGTTGTTGTATCGTTTGTTGTACAACAACACTTGCTGTTACTTTTTATTATTATACCATGTAATGTTTAGAATAAATCAAAACTCTGTGTTAAAATTCTCTTCAATTCAGTCCATAATTAACGATACGGACTCGAGTATCAGTAATTATGGGGAATTTTATGTTAAATTGATAAAAACTGGTGAATAGTATGTCGAGTGGATGTCGAGAATCGCATTCGCTTCGAGGATAATGCGATCTTAGTGTCAATATGTTATTTACAATTAGCTCCGCTTCTGGAAAAACACATAAAGTTTTAGATAATCATCGGATAATATTTCGGGTATTAAGGAAGAATTATCCAAGGACATGTTGTCCTCAAATTGATAATTATTATATTGATGTGTTCACGGGATGTGGGAATCACAGCATAAATATTTACAGAGGATCATATATTCTGATATTGCTTGATTTTATCATTATAACCAAATATTGCACAATTTGGTCCAGACTAGAGAATTAGACCCATAAAAAGTCCAGTTGTTTTTTTATTAATAATTTTTTATACCCTCCACCATAGTATGGAGGATATATTTCTTTTTCCCTTTGTAACTCATCGGTATAATATTCTGGATCAGCGTAAAAATCTATGACGATCTAATTATGTCCGTCTGTCTGTTGTAGAGTCGTCTTTTGTCTGCAGGTCCATGTTTAGGCATAGCTCCCATATAAGGGTACCCTCCAATTTTCGGTATTTTGGGGTTCTTGAGCGCGTTTTTATTGGATACCAAATTTCTCCACTAAAAATTAAAAATATAGGTACACTTTTTCTGGTAGCCCCCATATAAGGGTAACCCCCAAAATTCAGTATTTTGGGGGTTTTGAGCGTATTTTTCGACTGAATTGGCTGTAATTTAGTATTTTGAGTTCTTATTGGGTAGGAAATCTCCCCACAAAAAAATATAAATAGTAGTTCCCATATAACGATACCCTCAATTTTCAGTATTTTGGGGTTCCTGAGCGCATTTCTCAACCGCATTCGCTGAAATTTTGGCACTTTGCGTTCTTATTGGATATTTAATCTCTCCACTAAAAATTATAAATATAGATCCACTTTTTCCGGTAGTCACCATATAAGGGTACCCCCTAATTTTCAGTATTTTGAACACGTTTTCCAATCAAATTCGCTGAAATTTGATGCAGTGCTTTCTTTTTGGGAATTCAATTTATCCACTAAAAATTATAAATATAACGGAACTCCCAAATTTTCAGTATTTTGAGAGGTTTTTAATCGAATTCGCTGAAATTTTGTACATTGTATTCCCGCATTTTTGCCTATCCCCCATATAATGATACCTATCGATTTTAGGTATTTGTTATATTTGGCGAGAATGAAGGTATTTTTTATTCGAATTGAGCTATGTCAGCCCTCAATTAGGCATAGTAATTCCAAAACGATGTAATCAATATTGGTCCCACTTTAGGTATAGCCTCCAGAGACTTACGCATACAATTCTTTTTCTCCAATGACAATTTTCATATTGAACCAGCAGCTTCCACCCTACCACCGAAATAAAATCATCATATATTGTGTTATTGTCGTCAATATCGGTCGACCTTTTGGTGGTCGACCCGGACGAACTTAACCCCTTTCTCACTTGTTAATCTTCAGATGATAAACAGCGGAAATGTTTTTGTTTGTATTGTATTTTAAATTAAACTATTTTTAATCTTTGTCGTCCTAGTAAGAAACTAAATGATTTTTTAATGACTCCGCAGGTTTTTTTTTTTTCAAAAACAATCTTCCAAATGCTAACTGGGTGCTTACTGGGTTTAGATTGTGTCAATATTGGTAGAATTGTCCTATAGGAAGTTAGTATTAATGGCAGTTGGTCACACAACCCTTCCCCATCAGATTGTCAAAATATAGCCCATGTTAAATCATATAGTAGTCTCAATATCACCTTTCCTCCTAACAAAATAAAATTACCATTATTTTTGTTACACATTTACACATTGAAATAGATTTCTTCGTTTTATTTTATTTAATTTTCTTAGCTTAAAATGCTTACAACAATATATCTTGTTTTTTGTTTGTTTCTTTTTAATTTTAAATTCTCAAAATGTTTGCACTTCGTTTTAGAAGTAAAATAGAAACAAAGTTCTGGCCAATACTTCTTCTTCTTGCTCTTTCAACATTGTTTTCAAATAATGAAAAATATAAAAAAAAACATTTGGTTGCAGAGTATGATTTGGAAATAAAAATCATAATAAAAAAACAAAATGTTTAACTACTTAAAAATTATTTTTGTTTAGCAAATAATAATAATTTAAATAAATTATTAAAAAATACATAATTGTAAAAATTTAAATAACCTATAAAACTACAAACAATGTACAAAGATTTAGTATCAGTGTGAGTGTGTGTATAGAGAGGAAAATAAGAACTACATATACATAGAAAAATCAGAGTAACTTTTGTAGATTTCTTTACAAAAAAGAAAAAAAATAATAAATAAAATTGGAATATGTAGTTGTTCTATATCGCACATTTTTGTTGTTTACAACAAAACAAATATGGACACGTTAGTTTGCAAGGAAGACCACCTTGCGAACGATTGCATCTCTTGGACTGTGGTAATCAATATCTTAAAAACTAATAAGGAAAACTGTAAACAGCATATTTTTTTGGCCGCTTTATTCTGAACGTTTGCTGGCTTCTTTGGCACGTTTCTCTAAACGTTCTCGTTTATCAACGCCAGCCAAATCTATGCTGGCCACATAGGCATGCATGCAGCTGATTAGAGCTTTCAATACAGCTAAGGGGCCTGTAAGGACAGCGACCATTTTGAACAATGACATACCAAAAACTGTAAATAAAAATAATAACAAATTAATAAATGTTTTCATAATTAGCTACTGAAAAGTTGTTTTATGACTTACTCATTGGTCCAGTGGTAAAATGCAATACATAGAGACTTATGTAAAATGCTTCATTGACGCAGCACATAAAAGTCAAAACATCCTTTTTGTAATAAATACGCATAACAATATTTTCACTGAGATCGGTGGCTTTGTGTGAGGTTTTGCCAACAACAACACTCCTGTAAAATTTTGAAAAAATAAACATAAAATCAGAAAACTGTCCGGATATGTATTGTATCAAGTCAGGTCAGTACTTACGTTTGCATGTATAACCAATGGCAGGCAACATCAATGGCCATGGACAGCTGGAACCAAAACATATATTCTGGATAGAATAAACTGAGGGTCACCATCAAGCCCATGGTACCGCAACGATCAGTAAGCTGATCCAACATGGCACCAAAACGTGTGCCTAAAAATAAACATATGTGGAAATTAATAAACAATTCTTGTGGGAGAAATAAACAATTAACAGATGTTAGATTTCACTTATAAAAAAGTAAAAAAAAAACATTATTTAGTATCGAATTAGAAAACAATTTGTATTCGATTAAAATATACAAAAACTACTTTCAATATATAAATACATATGTTCGAAATGATTAAATTTTCCATCCCTTGACCATACTACATCTATATAAGAATTGATTTTTAATTAGCTATGAGGTCATTATACGCCAACAACATATATTTCTTTTTTCCCATAATTGCGGATTCTCCAACCATGACATTGAACTGCATGTATACATTTTAAAGCAATGAATTCATATGCATTCCGTAACCTAATTGGCACCGTACATATACTGAGAGCCCAAAACAAACAATGTATTTTGTGAGAGTGCCACAACAATATTCAAACAATGAGATGCATATATAAATACACTTGTTGATTAGAGATAAAAAGAAATAAAGAAAAAACGCAATAGATAAGGAAATGAGAAGAAAAAGATGCATCTGAATGGTATGTATCTCAAAATATGACGTCAATAGAAAAAAGTAAACAAAAGATAATTGGCATCATCACAATATGTAAGACATTACCAATTAACTTTGCTGCACATTTTCATGCAAAAAAAAAAAAAAAAAAAAAATGAATATAAACTAACTTGTAAACTAAGTCGACACCTAATGATATGGTAATGCAGCGAACATGACGTGTAAATGCCTTCTGTAGATGTCAAACAGAATAGAAAATTTTCAAAATGTTTTTCTCTAATAAAGAAATGCTTATTGTTAATATGCTTTGTACGATTTTGTACCAAACGTACTGCGGAATTTACTTCTATCAATTCAGAATATAAACGTTTTAGCCCAATTACTTTTTAGTTTGCTTTAGAATTGGCATCAATTTCTGTTTCTACCATAGCTTGTCTCTGGCTTAGCCATGATATTACCCCTCCAGGAAATTTTACAACACCAATCGGAAGATCTACATCTTCCGATTTTCAAACATTCGCCAAAATCTTCATCTCTGTAGCATTCTAGCTTTTGAGCATGTTCGTTGTTGTTGTATATTCCGTTGTTGTAAAATATTCCATAATTAATTGTTCCAGATTTGTAACTAAAAACTCTTAACTCGGATAATATCATCGTTGGATAGATTTTCTAGCATAAATCTTTCCAGAATTCTGCAGATTAAAAAAGTAATTTGCATCTTTGGGGGTTATTTTGAATTATCTTCTCAACTCTTCCAAAAAAAAGGTTCCAGCTAGTCGGGGTCCGTAGCAGCTAGTAGACCATCGTCTACATGAAAAGCTAGTATTAATTTATTCCCTTCTTTATTTCGTATGTATATACAGAAATCGGCGTCATTTGCTATAAAACCGATTTTTAATAAATATTTCCAAATCTGCGATTTCAACACCGCGGAGCTTGCTTTAATCCATAAAACTCTTTTTATACCCTCCACCATAGTATGGAGGGTATATTAATTTTGTTTTTCCGTTTGTAACTCCTCGAAATAATCATTTCCGACCCTATAAAGTATATATATTCTTGATCAGGGTATCCCCCATATAAAGGTACCTCCCAATTTTCAGTATTTTGGGGGTTTTGATCGTATTTTTCCGCCGAATTAGTTGTAATTTAGTATTTTGAATTCTTAACAGGTACCAAGTCTCTCCACAAAAAATTATGAATATAGATCCATTTTTCCGGATAGCCCCCATATAAGGGAACTCCCAATTTTCGGTATTTTGGGGTTCTTGAGCGTGTTTTCAACCGAAGTTGCTGCAATTTGGTATTTTGTAGTCGTATATGGTAACAAATCTCTCTACAAAAAATATTAATATTCACCCCTTTTTTTGGGTAGTCCCCATATAACCCCTTTTTTGTATTAAAATGGTTATTTGATTTGTTCCGCGTTTTGTTCTAAGACTCTGTTGTAATCATTTCACCTGCGGAGGATAGCGAGATAAAAAATTAAAACGTAAGGTTCGATAATGAACTATAGCCGCATTTAGACCTAGCCCCCGTGTGGAGGTTTCAGAAGGAGTGGACCAATATTCCCCATCTTCGAATTTGAATTATCAATTAAAAATTTCTAAAATTTGTATTTTGGTTTACATAATCCGTTTTAGACATGTCGGTATATGTCCGCTTTTTGGTATGTTCCCTATATTTTCATTTCTAGTACCTGTCAGTATATCTATGGTGGAGGGTATCCAAAGTTCGGACCGGCCGAACTTAACGCTTTTTCACTTGTTATGTTTACAAACTCTTTATTGTCCTACCCTAAAATTTCAATCCTTGCATTGCATATTGATAATAGTAACACTAATCAAAGCAATAAAAAATAACATTAGAAAACATTGGGTTTCATACCGTCTTACTTTAACATACCTTTTTTATCACAATTTTTTATCCAATTACCCCGTTTCACCCATATCTACTTCACATGACCTGGCATGCTATTTAGATATGTGTTTGTCATTAAATTGATTTAATTGAGGTATTATTATAAATTTTCCGATATTGTAATAAACGACAATTCATATTTATAAAAATAGTAATAAAAGCCATCTTTATAACTGACTACGATTTGTGTGTGATGTGAGAATTGTTTAGCTTGATAATAGCAACAATAACAATCTAACCGGCGGCATTATAAGAGAGTGAGAGAAATAAACAAGCACGTAAACAAATCCAATCTCTGATAAAGGCTACAACAACAATGCTGAATTTATGATGATTAAACATAAATAAACCCGTATAACAAAAAAGCCACCACCTCACACCCCACCTGCATACGGCGGCAGATGGATGACGACAGGTAATCAATAAACGCTATATATACATACACACACAGCGGGCTAGATAAGACAAACTAGTGCAGAGTTAATAAATAGTAACTATTTGCAATTGGAAGTACTTACTCTGATTAAATGCTCGAGCTGCATGACCATCCACTGCATCCAGTAGGGCGCTTATTGCATAACACCAACCGGCAACCACATAATTGGTGGACATGCACCAAAATGCTATTAAAGCCAACACAATACGGGCATACCCTAGAATGGAAAATGCAAAAAGAAGATACATTTAAAACAAGTCCAAATACATAATAGACTATCGAAGTCGAGAAAATTCCAAAGTTCCATACGTGTGTCTGGGCGCAAAAGCTAAATTTAATAATAATCATGTACAGAAAAAAGAAACAGCATAACCACCACCATCATCGTCGTTATCATTATTTTCCACTAGATGGTATTGGGGGGTTGTAGACAGCCTTCCTCCAATGGGTCGTTAATTAAATTATACACTTTCTTCCACAATGTTTCATTTGAGAAGAAAATAGGTTTTGGTGTTTTTTTCAGCTTCAGGTGTTTTTCTTTTCGTACAACTCATCTCATCTGGTTGCTGTTGTTCTTTTGTTGTTGTTGCAGAGCATGTTATTTATTTAATTACTCACTCACCAATCAAATTTGGTACGAAGAGAAAAATATTATCGTGTTGTGGCACAGTCACCATTGTGAACTTCTTTTTTACTCTAGAAGTTTTCAAATATACCGGCTGTTAATTGTTGGATTGCAATTTGCAAATTATTTGTATTCTTTTTTAATTTGCTTTTCGTTTTTTTGGTTTCTCAGTGCTCCGCAAACTGCTTCTCCGTTCTAAGTGGTTTTGACAATTGTTGTGTATTGTTCTGCTCACAACAAATGTAGGGATCTGTAAGTCGATATTTGACTAATCGATTGATGGGTAATAGGGATGTTTAGATTGAAACGTCAACAATCGATTGTTTGCATTCACATATTGGTTTTTGACGGCGTTAAATTTATTCGGAATTGCAAAATAACGATTTTTGGGAATTTTAAAAAAATAGACTACAGTTCGTCTTCGGACGGCTCACAAGAAAGATTTAAAGAGTTAATCATGCCTACAGGCTTAAAAAAAATCAAAATGGCGCTGTGTTAGGCTTTGCTTAACTCGCCACGTGTTTTATTATCGAACTACGAAAATATAAGAAAATCTCGTTTAACTCTCGCATATTGTTTATGGTCTTATACCTTCTATCCAATTAGCAAGTGGACTAGCTGGAGGAGTAACTGCCTCGGTCTATGCCAGTGTGGTCCGTTTAGTGAGTGAGGATGCCTTCGAATCCGAAGAAATACGCCAGTTATTTTAACCGATATTTTGTGGAATATCCCGATAACGAAAGAGAGAGCAATGGAGAAGTATTCAGACCTGTCAGAACGTTGCCCTGTGAACTGCAACAGGATGCCTCCTCCCCTTTGCCTTACGTCAGTATACCGCTATGCTTTCCTTACGGTACCTTTTTGGGTAATTTAGAGAGAATCATATGATGAATAGAATTTTCCACCCAGGCGAGTCGGGATCCACATGTTCTAGAGAGAGAGAGAGAGAGGAGAGAGAGAGAAAAGGAACCTCTACATCGATTTTCGTATCATGCAGGTCTAAATTGCTAAATATTGATGCAGTTGCCGCAGCGCTGAATAAATACAGAGTGAATACCGTTCTCGGAGCCTAAGCTTAAAGTAGTTTTGTCCCAATTATGTTCAGAATGTTGCAGTCGTCTCAATTCGTATAAAATTGCTACAACAACCAGCCTATGGTTTGGTAGAAAAAACTAATGTAAGAGCCAAGGTCATAAACTACGGGAATAAGGAGCCTGCCGAAATCCTTATTAAGGAAGTAAATGGTCTTGAATCCCTCTGGATGAAATCCACATCTATGCACCGGATTGACTCGGAGAAACCAACTTCCGACCAAAGACTGTCAACCCGGATTGTTTGCTTCAAATTCTTCCGGTCCATGTCAGCATTGAGACAAACCCCGGACCATGGTTCTGCACCGTTTGTCACAACCGCATCAACGATAGGCCTATATCCGTGAGATGCAACGGATGTGGAGAATGGGCACATTTCATAAGTTGTTCCGTTCTTAGACGGGTACAGGAGGGAAGGGACTACATTAATTCGGAAGGGACTACATTAATTCGTACTGCGCCAAAGCAAACCACAGCGAGTCGTCGTGTCCGCAAAAGCAAATCTACGCCGCATTCACTATCACCGCACATTGCTGTCATAGCTGCTGATAATGTACCATATCTCCAATTTGAGTGCGATGAACTTCGTGATTGTGGATCTTATTAGTCGCAGAAGTATTATGGTCGTGGCGATCCAGAAAACGAATTAGAACAACAACTGCAGTCCTTAGAGTGGGATGGATACAATGTCATAAGGAAGAATCGTACGAGAGGTGGAGCCTTATCATTGTTATTGGACCCATCATGCATGGAATGTATGAGGGTAGCGGTCAAGTGTGGTACCTCCGAGGTGAATGTGCTTAACGTATACATTCCGCCGTTAAATAGCTGTACTCTGTGATCCTTGCTGATATTAGTTATCTTTTGGAAGGCATTAACCGTGGGTAGGGCGTGGGTAGGGGATTTCAATGCACACCATGGCATTCCGTCCTAGGTAATGACTATGGGGGCAGGGCGCTGGCCGAGCAAATAGAAAGCTCAACGTTTTGCACGGTGAATGAGGACATACTGCCAAAGTTCACCGGACATTTCCATCGTGGCTTCAGGCCTGACGTGGCTTGTCAGCTCGTCATTTCATTGGAGTCAAATCATCTCCCTGTTATCATTCGACTTCATAACTGAACCAACCAGTCGCTTCAGAGAACTGTCCAATCCTTCTGATGCTCGGGTAGCAAAAAGTAATTTCCGGGTCATTATCACGGCTGCAGCCTGAATTCCCAGCACCGGCAGCGGTTTAAGAAAATGGGCATCATGAGCTTCGTCGTACTAACCTAAAATCAGAGAAATGATTCGAGAGTGGCATGGCAAGGATAAGAGTATTGCGCCTTCAAGTGAAGGAAGAACCACCATAATTTACGTTGGAGGATGCTGCAAGTGCCATCAGAAGCGTAAATCATCCAAAGCGCATGGTACGGATGGAATCTCCATGCAGTTTGAGGAGCCAGGAGTGGAGTACCTAACCATAGTCCTCAACTTTTCGTTAGCCACTCTAATAGTTTCCCATGCCAGGAAAATGGGCATGCCAGGGTCCCGCTTCGCGAATGCTACTAAGTTGCTGATCACCAACACGGAAACAGCACAGCACAACAACAACTTTGCACGTCATTTCCACACATACAACGGAACAATCCATGTAATAGGATAGTTATGGTGGCTTTGGACCTAATTAAAGGCATTTTATACCGTCAGTCACGCTAAGCTGTTCGTGGAAGTCGAACGAAAAACCCTCCAGCCAAGCTCGAAACGTTGGATAACAATTTATATGTGTGGACACCAGTCGTACGTGGAATTCAGAAATAGGAAGTCGAAGGCCCGTGGAGTTAAACGGGGAGTTCCCTAAAAGGGGGTGATATGTCTGGAACTGTTTAAACTCTCTGAAATTCCACCCCCATCGAATTGCGGAAAGATCGTTACGTACGCAAACGATTGTACAATCATGGCGTCAGGACTGTAAATTGATGATATTTGCGAGAGGTTGAGCAGCACTCTTGTATTTTCCGAGCGAGGATTATGGAAATATCCGCCACTAAGTTAACGGCCACAATGTTTACCACATGGACCGCGGAGTAAGAAAATTAATACTTTTTCGAACTCTTTCTTTTATTATAATATAGCCATGTATAAAAAATATTTTACAACAATTATAATACAGTTAACAACAATTAATGCAATAACACATAACATATAAATATTATTTTCTTAAAATAAAAATAACACTTTAAATATTTTCAATACGCCATTGATTGGGATCCATGAGATAGTCTCTGAATAAAATTATAAAAGTGTTTAATTGAAAACTGTATAGAAAATCGTATGAAAAATATGAATACTTACCTATTTTCCAACAGAGTTTTTGTAAATTCATCTTTTAAATCGCTTAACTTGCCAGCCTTGCCGCCATATTCATCGGGTAACATATCTTTGGGTACATGCTCATACAATGTTTCTATGCCGGTAGTGTGGAAATGTATCTAAAAAAATAAGAAATTTTTTAAAGAAAACTCATTACAATAAACAATTTTTTGAATCTCTGTAATACCCCACCAAGCAATTAAAACTTTACGTTCTTTTTCGTTAAGTTTTTATTTTTTTGTGTGTTTGTTTAACATACCATTTCAAAAACTTCCTTGTTTATGAATGGTTTTACCACCCTTAACATTTTATCCAAATATGAAGGGCAGTTAATCATATGCATCGCCTTGATGCGCACCGGAAATGCTTGCTGTAAAAACTTCAAATAAGTTCGCAAAGTTCTAATTGACAAACGGGTAACATGTTTCATGGTATAGCCATTCATATCGAATATTTGTACTTCGCCCTCGGATAGCAGTGCCATATCGCCGTCCACAACATCTGGCCTGGCAAAACGACAATCGGTAATCATTAAAAATGCTTTGGTATCTTCGGTATGATGCATCTGAGGAGAATAAATGAAAAAAAAATTAGAAAAAGGTGGAGGTAATTTGACTCAATTTGGAGTTCTACAAAAGCTTTCTTGGCATATATGATCTGTATTTAAAGGCTGTGCTGAAGCTAGAGGTTCTTCCTCTTCTCCAGAACTCCTAAATTTCTCAATTATCAATCAACACTAAATCTAAAAATAATTACCATTTTTGGATCGGGATCACACAAGCGCAGGAATGTTATGCGATAGTTTTCCGGAGTTAACCCAGGAAGTGGTACCATGTCCCTGGGAAATTTAAAAATAAAGTTTTTGTAAGAGTTTTGGTCACATTTATACTTACGCATAGGCAAATGTATTAGTCGTATCTTCGTCCGTTGGATCACGATCAATAAAGATATGTGGATAATCATTGCGTATGGTATAATTAATCTCTAATAGATTTTTGGTCTCTTCAACATTTTTGTACATGCAGTAGTAAAATCGGGTCAGTAAAATTCGATCTGAAAGAAAATTTAGAATTAATAATCATGTTTATAACCTAGAATATATTAAGAAGCAGGCATAGCCCAATAGTAAATTTTGAAAATATTCAAATAATCACATTCTGAGTCCATTTTTTTTATATGACTGTCTTCCTTTAAAGAGTCAGCGGTTAAAGTCGAAAAAAACCTCTCGGAGCCCTTCAACGAACGGGGATTCAGACAAGGTGCTTTGTCGTGTGACCTTTTTAATATCCTGCTGGAAAAGGTCATACCACATGTAAAGGTGAACAGAAATGGCACTCACTCAGACGCCGATGACATCGACCTAATGGGTTGAACATTGCGAGCGGAAACAGTCACCTTTGAACGAATTGGGGAGTCTGCCAAAGTGAGGCAGTAAATGACGAGAATTCCATGCTGATGGTATTAACACGCAAGACGTCCAGTAGACTCGGACCAACTGTGAAACTTGAAAAGTACAGCTTCGAGGTAGTCAACGATTCGACCGCCATAAATAAAACTAATACTACTATGGTCTGAATACTTGTAAGCAATTTAAGAACAAGACCACCTCTCGTTAGACCAAACTCACACCCTACACTCACACGCTGATACTGTCCGTGCTGGTGTATGGATCTGAAGCATGGGTGCTTGCGCAAACAGATGAGACATCTCTTGGAGTGTTTGAAAGAAAAAATTTTCCGAAAGATGTACGGACCGATCTGCGTCGATGGTGTATATTGTCATCGAATGAAGCAGGAGTTATACCATCTATACTCGGACATTGACATAGTCAGACGTATCGAGCTTCAGCGGCTACGGTGAACCACGAGATATACCATCTATACTCGGACATTAACATAGTCAGACGTATCGAGCTAAAGCGAATTCGTTGAATGATCAAGTGGATGATGGCATATCAAAGCATGGCTTTTCAAATGGCAAATATTGTGTATAAGATCGACGCTCCTGGAAATCCGTTTTAAGTTCGTCTAAGGAATAAATGTCTAGACTGTCTGTCAGTATATATTGTTTGTTAAGTCCTCTTTTCGTAGCATCCTCTAGTATCCTTGCTTGAGTACTTATTAAGATCTCTTGCAGTGGAATCCTGTAGTATCCTAGCTTGAGTACTTATTAAGGTCTATTACCGTAGATTCCGTTGGTATCATTGCCTGAGTATTTAATAAGATATTTTGCAGTAGAATTCTTGCTGAAGTACTTATAAAGGTCTCTTGTCGTAGTAACCTTCAGTATCTTTGCTGTAGAATCCTTGTTTGAGTACTTATTAAGGTCTTATACCGTAGAATCCGTTCGTATCATTGCTTGAGTACCTATTAACGTCTCTTGCAGTAGAATCCTGTAGTATTCATTCTTAACTATTTATTAAGGTCTCTTGTCGTAGTATCCTTCAGTATCATTGATTGAGTACATATTAAAGTCCCTCGCCGTAGAATCCTTCTTTAGCCTTGCTTGAGCACATATTAAGGTATCTTGCTGTAGAATTCTTGCTTAAGTTCTTATTAAAGTATCTAGCCGTAGAATCCTTGCTTTAGTACTTATTAAGATCTCTCGCTGTTAAATCCTGCTTGAGTTCTTATTAAGATGTATTGCCGTGGTGTTCTTCCGTATCCTTGCTTCAGTACTTATAAGGTCTTTTGCAGTAGAATCCTGAAGTATTGTAATTGATTACTTGCTAAGATATCTTGCCGTAGTATTCTTCCATATTCTTGCTTGAGTATTTATTAAGGTTTCTTGCCGTAGAATCCTTCAGTATCTTTTCTTGATTACTATTAAAGTATCTCGACGTGTAACCCATTCGTATCCATGCTTGAATACTTACAAAGGTCTCTGGCAGACTCTAGAGCTGTTCATGATTGTAAATCCGCTTGCGGATTAGACTTAGAGGGGTTCCAGGTCATAGCGACATAAAGGGTAATGAAGTATCTGATGAACATGATCGATGTGCATCGCAGTCAATCAATATAGTAATTCATGCTACTGTGTCGCTTCCTCTTAAATTAAATAAAGATGGAATGAGGAACATAGATGTAGAACCAAAAAGTCTATCTGGCCGGTATTTTCTAAGCGTAGATCTAAAACATAGATTTCTTTGAGAAGGAAAGAGTTAAAGATGACTGTAACGGTCATTGCAAAATCAGATATCTTTTCTCATAATTGGAAACTTATGAGTTGGAATACTGCTGCCTATGCAAGGTCGAAGAGTAGAGGGAAACGAACGCACATACTTCGCAAAAAGGCACCAAATATTTGCAGATATGAGATAGATATAAACCTTAACATTGCCATAAACTTGTCAGGATTTAGCTACCAATCCTAAACTCTATCTGTTCGTCTCACTTTCTCTTTAGCTTCCTCTTTCTACAACGTCATTAGGATGATCACAAGGATATGCGATTGTCTCTTGGCAGCCGCAAATCCTCTAAACTAACCCACACACTTATATCAGTTTAGAGGTTTCAAGTATGGCCATACCGATTAATTTCGTGCTGGGGACTGATGCGTTTTATTTGTGATTGCTGATTTAGTCCATAATATTTTTTTTCGGTCCAGCTCTCTACGAATCCATATTTAGTTTGAGTTTATTGGGACTTTTTTCAATAATTCTCTAAACGTGTATTTTATTCCCATCATTTTTATTTCAAATCCATATCCAGTTAACTGTAAAAAGGTTCTATAATTGCTTTCGAACATTACATCACACACTTTTGCCTCCCCAATAATATTCTTTTAATTACCACAGCAGAATATCGCATCGTGCATATTTATTGGCAATCAGACTTGGATTGAATATTTTAGTTTATCGTCATCAATATGATGTCGATTAGACAGACACACGAGTGCTATTTGAATTTGAATTATATTTATGAATGCAAAAGGTGTTTTTAATAGCAAATGAATGAAATCGGAATAAAAAAATATTGGAATTTGTGTTTGATTCCAATATATTTTGATTTCAATATATTTCCCACAAATATAAAAAAATAGATATGTTCAGAAAATATATTGTCATACTTAGTTTTTTTTTGGCTTTGCTCCAGGTTCTGCCACTTTTACTATTCCAATAAATTTATTTAATAAATTGTATTGAATTTCGAGTTAAAAATGTAATTATGAGCAGAACACAAGTTCTATTGTGGTATAACCGGATTAAGAAAGACCAAGAAGAAAGAATAAAATTTCCTAGCGAGTAAAATGATTTAGGATAAATTACTATCAGAAATGTATGCATGATTTAGGCATTCAGATTGATCTAAAACTGCTAAAGTTTGAGGAAAAATAACGTTGTTTGGACAGTGTTCAGAAGCTATTGAACATCGCCAACGGCTATCCGGAATGCCTAAAAAAACATAACTGACAACGAATTATGAGCGTATGACTATGAAATTGAAACCAAACCCAATCTTCTCTATTGGTCTAAAATCCAGAAGAGCCAAGACAAAAAAAACCAGTTTGAAAATTTCCCTCATTTTTTGGCCGAAACAATTTTTCAGAAACTCACATAATTGTGGAGTACTCAATCATGGAATTTCTACCATGATAACGCTCCATATCACACATCGAAGCTTGGGCAGGAGTTTTTGGCCCAAACGTTATCATGTCACAGCCACCGTATTCACCGGAATTGACATCCGCTGACTTTTCCTCTTTCCAAAACTGAAGACACCGATGAATGGAAAGCATTTTGCTTCGATTGAGAAGGGCCAAAAGTGCAATGATGAGAGTTCATTTATTATTCAAAATCAAGATTAAAGGAACCCTCATCCGACATGCCGATTTAGAAATATATCTTCGAGAAATTTGAGTGATTAAAAAAATGATCAGAAGTAAGTACTGAATTATGGGGGCAAAATGCTATGTTTAAGGTGCTGGACAAAATATATACGCTATCGAGGCGAAATAAGGTATTTGTGTCGCCGGGAGGGCAAAACAGAAAAAAATATTTTTTTATATGGGAAAGTGTATCATCAACAGCTATATTTGCATTGAATATAAAGTTGTTTTCTTCCTTAAAATTTAAAAATAATATTTTTACAAAATTTCTCACAGGATATGACATAGAAACAAAAATTTTTAAATTTTTTGTATTTCAAACAAATACGATCACATAACTTGAATGTATTAGGGTGGACAGCCCTGATGTAAAGCCACTCAAAATTAATTTTTTGTTCATTAATCGTTATTTAGAACACTTATTTATCATTTTTTCCAATTATTATTCACCCATATGCGGACTATAGGAAAACCTTAAAAATTTTTTGTTCCTAAGGGCGGCATCGATAAAAATATCATAATTACAATTTTTATACCCTCCACCATATTATGGACGGTATATTAATTTTGTTTTTCCGTTTGTAACACATCGAAATAATCATTTCCGACCCAAAAAAGTATATATATTATTGATCAGCGTAAAATTCTATGACGATATAGCCATGTCCGTCTGTCTGTCTGTTGTAATCACTCTAGCGTCTAAACGAATTGAGATAGATCGCCAAAATTTTGCATAGAGTCGTCCTTTGTCTGCAGGCAGTTCGAAGATGGGCTTTATCGGTCCACGTTTAGGCATAGCTCCCATATAAGGGTAACCCCCAATTTTTGGTATTTTGAGGTTCTTGAGCGCGTTTTTCAACCGAATTCGCTGAAATTCATTACATTGGGTTCTTATTGAGTACCAAATTTCCCCACTAAAAATTATAAATATGGGTCCATATTTTCGGATAGCCCCCATATAAGAGTACCCCCAATTTTGCGGTAATTTAGGGTTCTTGAGCGCGGTTTTCAACCGAATTCGCTGAAATTCGGTACTTTGAGTTCTTATTGGGTAGCAAATCTCTACACCAAAAATTATAAATATAGATCAATTTTTTCGGGTAGCCCCCATAAAAGGTTACCCCCTAATTTTCGGTATTTTGAGGTTCTTGAGCGCGTTTTTCAACCGAATTCGCTGAAATTTGGTACATTGGGTTCTTATTGGGTACCAAAATTTCCCCACTAAAAATTATAAATATGGGTCCATATTTTCGGATAGCCCCCATATAAGGGTACCCCCAATTTTGCGGTATTTTAGGGTTCTTGAGCGCGGTTTTCAACCGAATTCGCTGAAATTCGGTACTTTGAGTTCTTATCGGGTAGCAAATCTCTATACTAAAAATTATAAATATAGGTCCACTTTTCCTGGTAGCCACCATATAAGGGTACCTCCCAATTTCGGATTTTTTCACCGAATTGGCTGTAATTTAGTAATTTCAGTTATTATTGGGTAGCAAATCTCTCCGCAGAAAATTATAAATAGAGGTCAATTTTTTTCGGGTAGTCCCATATAAGGGTATCTGCAATTTTCGATATTTTGTGGTTCTTGAGCGCGTTTTTTAACCGAATTCACTGAAATTTGGTATTTTGTAGTCGTATATGGTAACAAATCTTCCCCATATAACCCCCTTTTTATATTAAAATAGTTATATGGTTTGTTCCTTGTGTTGCGGTTGGGTAGTCGTTACGGGGAATAGTCAATTTTTACCCCACAAAGATTATTTAGCCATCTGTTGCAAGCATTCCGCCTTCTAAAGGTATTGTGATAAAAGAAACGATAATAAAATATATCGGCAGACATTTAGGCATCTCCTCAATATAGTGATACCTCCTGAAGGAAAGAGTTGAGATAAACAATTAAAATATTGGATTCAATATTGGCATATACCGGTCATTAATTAGGCATAGCCCTCATATAATGATATCCCCAAATATTCACCATTTTCCTACACTATGTAATCAATATTAGTCCCCCTTTAGGCATATAACTTTGTAATCTAAATTACAGTAGTTTGAGGATTTTATACTCTACCATGCGTTATCAGTATCAGCCCACTTTTTGGATCTTGCAGATTTTAGGAAAAATCCCCATTAAAAATTGCTGAAGTTTGTATTTGGAGTACATAATGGTTTACATAAATCGGTTTGTAGAATTATCGGTATATACCCACTTTTTGGTATGTTCCCTATATTTTCATTGCATGTATCTGTCAGTATAACTATGGTGGAGGGTATCCAAAGTTCGGCCCGGCCGAACTTAACACTTTTTCACTTGTTTTTAATTATTTTAAATTCTAAAGTATTCTCCTCTATGTTCTTTACAATTACGTGAAGATTCTTGTGAAAATATATATAATTTTAATATAGTTACAAGTCTTTTGAAATCGACTTACCCACTAATTATACCCTTCACCACACTGTGGTACAGGGTATTATGTCTTTGTGCATATGTTTGTAACAGGCAAAAGGAAACGAGATAGACACTTGGTTCCTTTTGAGAATATGCATAGAATAACTTTCTGAGTCGATTTATGCATGTCCTTCCGTCCGTCTGTAGATTCTAAATTGTAAACAAAGTACAGGTCGCAGTTATGATCCGATTTGGATGAAATTTGGCACAAGTCACTTATTTGGACCAAGAACGAACCATATTGAAATTGGGAAAAATCGTTTCAGATTTATATAGTTTCGTCCGATTTAAGGTAAATGGTGCACCAAAGTCCCTATATATCATTCGATTTGCATGAAATTTGGCATAGAGTACTGAATTAGGTGCAGAATGATGTGTGCTAAGTTTCGTGAAAATCGGTTCAGATTTAGATAGAGCTCCCATATATAGTTTTGTCCGATTCTATCTAAATGGTGCACCAAAGTTCCTATATACCTTTCGATTTGCATGAAATTTGGCACAGCGTACTGAATTAAGTCTAGAATGATGTGTGCTAAATTTCGTGAAAATCGGTCCAGATTTAGATATAGCTCCAGTATATATATATTTACGTCCGATTTAAGGTAAATGGGGATCAAAGTCCTTATATATCTTTCGATTTTCACGAAATTGGGCATAAAGTACTGAATTAGGTCAAGAATGTCGTGTGCCAAGTTTCGTGAAAATCGGTTCAAATTTAGATATAGCTTGTATTGTAGATTTTGCTTGCTTTATTCCTTCTTATAAGTATATTTTATATTATCTCACAAACACTGGGTAATAAACCCATTCTAATATAATATTTTATCGTTATCGATTTTACAACACACAAAATGGTTATCGTAAATATTTTGGCGGTTTTCAAGGTTAGCACGTGTGGAGGGTGGGATATTGGTACACAAAGGAGTTGACAAAAACCAAGGTCTAAATATTGAAAATAAATATTTGTTTATTACCTTATCGTTCAAATATTTAAAGCTTTCTATTTACCAAATATATACTCACCAATTTTATTTGGTAATTTTGGATTGTCTTCGAACCATTTTTGCAATAAATCAATTGCTTGTTCTTGTTCTTCATCTCCTTTGGCTTGCATTGTTTACTTTTTGGTTTGTTTTGGTTTCCTGTTTTGGGGGTTTATTTCTCAGCACAAATGTTGCTTATATGCATACATAAATACTTATTATGCTAAAATTTTAAGAACTTTAACTAAACTTCACTAAATAAGCAGTTTGAAATTTCTACAACTAAGAAGCAGATTTTAAAAATTCAATTTATTTTCACATTTGTTTTATTTTATGTTTTTTTCTCCTTTCTTATTTCTTTTCCAAAAAAAGGAAATTTTCCGCCTACTTGCGGTTCTTTGCACAACTGCCAAGGAATACCGTTTACAACTGACTCAACTGAATGTCTCAGCGCGCGCATAAAGCTCTCAGCATATTTTCCAAATGTCATAAAAGATGTGTGGTTCCGGCTCTCACCCGCTCTCACGCACACACACACACACTCTTTAAGCCCAGGCTCAGTTTTAGTTGGTTGTCTATTTTCAAACAGCTGTAATTAGTTTATTTTGACAAATCTATGGACGAACGCACACAACCAACGATCCACTGTAGACATTTGTTTGGTAATTTGATTTATAATGTCCCGAATCAGCTGTGTTTTGGGAATTGTTAATAATATTTTTAGATAGTTTAGCAACTATTACCGGCATTATAAAACAACTAGATGCGCATGAATGATTGCATGTCTGGCTTCGTTTATAGTTCGTAATGATGATGGTTTGAATTAATGCGAATTAAAGAAGATATACAAAGTCCAAAATATTTAAGTGAAGTAATTATGTGTTCTCTCTCTTTATGTGGGTATTAGGTGTTCTCTTTTAAAAATAAAACAATTTGAATTAAAATAAATATGAAATGGTGTATTGTAAGTCAATTGGTTTTGTCTATATCTGTTAATAGTTGACAAACAGCCGTTTTCACCTTTCAGAAAAATGGGCAAATTTTTGTGATGCCTAAATATTTAAAATTTAAATAAACGGCTATAATAAAAGGGCTTATTTTGGTTGCTGTGAATGTTATTGATTTAGCATGTAAATAGTTCAGTACACAGTTCATCTAATCTGAATTGTAAATTTTAAAGTTAGTGGAGTTGAAAAAGAGTTAACTTTTTGTATTACCAATTTTTTTAAAAAAATATGACATATTCATGTAACGTTAAGAAGCGAAGTGTTGAATTAAAGAAAATTATTGAGGTCAAATGCAACCATGTAGCATAGAATTAGATTTGGCAAGTTTGAAAATTATATTTATTTAAAGAATTATTTAAGACATCTTTAGGATATTTCTACTCTAAATTTAGAGGACAAAACATTATTAGTTCATGTCATTGGATATGTAATAATGCACAATAATTAGGAGCCAACCGAAACATATGGTAGGATTTTTTCAAATAGGGATTTTTTTATAACAATCCGACCCTTTTATATCCTTGATAACGTAGATAGTAATAAATCTTACATTTGGGAACACAATACGAGGGCAGTTCAGAAGGTCTTAACCCAGAACAAAAAGCGCGGTATAAACAGAAAAAAGTTAAGTGTTTTGAAAACTTCCATCTATGTTATGAACACATGTTAAATTTTGTTTCGATCTGGCAACTCCTTCGTATAGAAACAGGTGTTCAAGAAAGACGCATCCGCAATTTGTATACCCTTCACCACACTGTGGTAAAGGGTATTATGTCTTTGTGCATATGTTGGTAACAGGCAAAAGGAAACGAGATAGACCCATAGTTCCTTCTCAGAATATGCATAGAATCACTTTCTGAGTCGATTTACACATGCCCGTCCGTATGTTGGTGTTAAATTGTAAACAAAGTACAGGTCGCATTTATAATCCGATTTGGATGAAATTTGGCACAGCTCATTTGTTTGGCCCAAGGATGAACCCTATTGAAATTGGAATCATTGGCATCATTCTGCCTGCCAAGTTTCGTGAAGATCGGTCCAGATTTAGATATAGCTCCCATATATAGTTTCGTCCGATTTAATGTAAATTGTGCACCAAAGTCCCTATATATATTTCGATTTGCACGAAATTTGGCATGACGTATTGTATTGAGTCTAGAGTGATTTCTGTCAAGTTTCGTGAAAATCGGCCCAGATTTAGATATAGCTCCCATATATATTTTCGACCGATTTCATGTATATGGTGCACAAAAGTCTCTATATATATTTCGATTTGCACGAAATTTGGTATAACGTACTGAATTAAGCCTAGAGTGATGTCTGCCAAGTTTCGTAAAAATCGGCCCAGATTTAGATACAGCTCCCATATATATTTTCCTCCGATTCACCAAAGTCCACATATATTTTTCGATTTGCACGAAATTTGGCATAGCGTACTGAATAGATGTTTGAATGATGTGTGCTGAGTTTCGTGAAAATCGGTTCAGGTCTAGATATATATATTTTCGTCCCATTTAATGTAAATAATGTACCAAAGTTCTTATGTTGCATAGCGTACTGAATTTAATCCAGAATGATGTGTGCCAAGTTTCGTAAGAGTCGGTTGAGATTTAGATATAGCTTCCTTATATTACAGATTGCTTTTAAGTAATTGACGCACCAAGAAACCAATATATGGCTGATAGAAACAAAACGTACTGAAATTAGTATATTTGGATATATCTTCCATATTTATTTTCCTCCGATTTTAAGTAAATTGTGCATCAAACTCCACATGTTTGTCAGATTGACATCAAATTTTGCACAACATACAAAATTGAGAATCGAATAACGTAGCGTTTTCTAGAAGTACAGACATAGCCCAACGGATGACCTTTTGATATTTGTAAAAGAATGACATGTTTATGGATAGATCTAGGTCGTTTCACATTTAGATACATATCACATATTTGATTTCATCCAATTTCACGACGATGTCCTGTTTAATATACCCATAGTGGTGAAGGGTATCATATAGTCGGCTCCGTCCGACTTTGCTACTTTCCTTACTGGTTTTACAATGAAAGCATGCATTTATAATTTTTCCTTTGTAAACAATTGCGGATGCGTGTTTTTTGAACCAATATCTAAATAAAAAATATATCGGATTTGTCTGAAGTATTTAAAATAAATATATCTCCTCATCCCCATAAGGAATTTTCCGCACTCAGATCATGGCCGCCATTTTGTGATATAAACATCGTTAAGTTCGGTCGGGTCGCACTTTTATACCATCCACAGTGAGTCATGCATTCAAAATACCTTAAATCAGTCGGAACCTTTATATGGGGACTATGTTATTGCAATATGTGGTAGTAGGTTGTTCATGCTCTGAAAAAAATTATGTTGCAAATTACAGACACTCCGGTTGAAAACATAGGTTAAGAACTTCAACATACTATAAAATAAACGGGTCATTAGCTATATTGAATAATTTCTGTAAAGAATGTTTTTATTCAGCAGGAATTTATATTACTGAAAATGGGTCGGATCTTTATGTGGGGTCTATATGGATAATTTTTGGCAAAAATTTGTTTTACCCTATAATATCCCGGACAGTCAATTTACATCAACAACAATGAGAAAATTCCGCTAAAACCTTAAACAATAGGCGATACCTAATATGGGGCAAGGTCAAAACATTCACCTGTATTGATAATTTTGTATGTATGTCAGCCTTCGATAACCCTTTATTCCAAATTATAGCCACAACGGTGGGAAAAAGGCGGTCAAAGCCTTCAAAATACCGAAAATTGGTCGATACCGTTTTAAATAGAGCAATACCAAAACGTAAACCAATATTAATGATTTTTGGTAGGATGATTTGACATCCTACGAAAAAATTTTAGTGGATATATTTGTTATCCAATAGGAACCCATTGCACAAAATTTAAGTGAATTTGGTTGAAAAGCGCGATCAAGAACCCCAAATTTTCGAAAATTGGGGGGTAAAGTTATATAATGGGGAGTTTTGGTTCCCAATAAGAACATAATTTTCCAAATTTTAGTGAATTCGGTTGAAAAGCGCGTTCAAGAACCACAAAATACCGTAATTGTGGTGGGGGAGAGCTATATGAGAGCTACGTCCATACGTGGACCCATATATCCCATCTTCGAACTTGATCTGCCTGCAGACAAATGACGACTCTGTGCAATTTTGGTGACCTATCTCATTCAATTCATAGAATGTCATAGAATTTTACGGTGATCCAGAATATATATACTTTATAGGGTCGGAAATTATTATTTCGATGAGTTACATGCGGAAAAACAAACTTAATATACCCTCCATACTATGGTGGAGGGTATAAAAATACCGAATATTGCGAGGTCCCGTTATATGGCGACCAATTTAAAAAGTGTGCTGATTTATTCCATTTTCAATGCGTATGCATTTAAAATCAATTGTTGGCCTTCATTTAATTTTATTTTTTAATACATAAACATAAATCTGAACCGATGTTGTCATATATCTTATATTATATATCTTAAAAAATTGTCCACATTTCCATAAATTCCATTAGACCTTCCAGTAATCGTGATCCATAAGATAATTTCTGTGGAAATAAAATAAATATACAATTTATTCCATGTTATATGTATGGAAATATATTTATCATACCTTGTATCTATTAACGACTGTAGAAGCTGATCCTTATGATCACTCATTTTGCTTGCTGGGCCGCCATATTCCTCCGTCAACATTTCCTTGGGTACATAATTGTAAAGCAATTCCAAATTTTCATTATGGAAATGTAGCTAAGTAATAAAAAAATTTGTTTATTAGATCTTAATTTTTATAATTTTTATTTCCTCTCACTCATTTCATTTTTCATTTCATAATCTCAGATTTTTCTTACCAACTCCAAAATCTGCTTACTCAAAAACGGCCGTACAAATGAAATAATTTTATTCATATACGGCGGACAATTGATCAGGTGAATACTCTTTATTCGCACCGGATAGCCACGTTGCAAATAGTTTATGGAAACGCGCAAGGCTCTGATCGAAACGCGTGTCATATGTTTCATTGTAAAATTTTGCATATCAATAATAATTATTTCGCCCAGGGCCAAAAGGCTATTGCCTGTCGTTGGGTCCTTGCCGTCAGGCAAAGCAAAACGATAGTCGGATACCATGAAGTAAGTTTTTATATCTCTCAGGTGATCCATCTGTACATGAGAATATCACAATAGGTATATTAGATAACAAAATGTTTACATTTTTAAAAATATTTACCATATTTGGATCTGGATTACTTATGCGCAATACAGATGCCCGATATTTGTCGGGTGTTAATCCTGGCAGAAATACCATATCTCTGGAAAATTTGTAAAAATGATTTAGTAGAATACACACATATTTTATACATAATAAATACTTACGCATAGGCGCCAGAAGCTAGAGTATCTTTATCTGTGGGATCGCGACGTATAAAAACATCTTCCGCATTTTTCCTTAGGCCATAGTTGACTTCAATTAAATTCTTCGTTTCCTTAATATCCTTGTACATGCAGTAGTAGAATCGTGTCAAAAGTATGCGATCTGAAAAATATGTATACAAATATCGGTAGCAAAAATATAACGATGTTATTCAGGTCAGATTACAATATCGTGTAAATTACGGCCTGGAGAAAACGAAGTACCAAAATAGAGATAATCAGGCTAAAGAATCTGCAAAAAAAAATCACTAAATAGGAGATATACCCCGAAACATGGACCAATATTTAAAATTGATAGTAGGGAGATTTTCTACTTAAAGAGAATCCAAAATATAAAATCCTCAAAATACCAAAAATTAGGGACTTGTCAAAACATGGGCCAATAGTTTTCTGAGTATAACAGTCTACAAGATTCCGAAATACCAAATTATAACTTTTTCCGTTCGAAAATTCGACTATATGCCTCGAAATTCTGAAAATTCACCTAGCTACCATATAAAGGGAAGATGATCAAAACACGAGCTGCGCAGACGTATGACAGCCTTCGAAACTCCGAAATGCCAAATAAGAACTTTTTCGGTTGGAAAATGCGGGTACTAGCCTCAAATAAAACCTAAATCATCTAAAAACCTAAAATCTACATAATACCGAAAATTTGGCGGTACCGTTAGATGGTAGGGAGTTTATCAATTTCCTAAAGGGCGCGTCCACAGGTGGCAGATAGGGGGAAGTTGGATGATTGGATAGCCTGATCGCTTTTTTAGGCCTTGTCCCCGCGGATCAAAACTGACTATGCGGGTGTTTACCTAAAACAAAAAATAAATATGGAAAGTACGATGAAAAATAAAGTTACGGTCCCGAGCTTAAATAACTCAGCACCGGCGGCTGCCATTGATCGACAAACGTTTCACGCCCCTTCGATGTCCTATGATCGTGGGAAAAATATCCTACAGATAAGGGTTTCTTGGCATCTGTAGACCCTGGACTACAGATCGCTAACACGTAGAAATTAATCTGAGTTTTAGGACCATAGGGGAAGTGCAATCTCGATCCAACCTTCTGAAACAGGAAGAGTCTCAAACTCAAATTCTGAGTCCGAACATGAGGATATAACAAACCGTTCTAGAATACCGAAAGAGCAAAGAGTTTGATAAGATGATTGAGGAAGTGCGCAAGGATATCGTGAATCTCTCTGAAACACAAATGCGACAAATGACCACAACGAAGCAAGGGATTAAAATTGAACAGATGCTCAGAAGGATAAGTCTGACTTTTCCTTCACTTTCTCGAAAAATAAGACCTAACACTCATCGTGTTAGGTCTCCGGAGGAGCAGCGAACGAAACCACCAGAAAGAAAAAAACTTTACGTCGGCTGATAGCAAGAGAATGTACAACCTACCCGATATCGCAGGAATCCATAGGAATTCCAAAAGGACTAACCGAATTAAACAAAAGAGGAAGAGAGCAGCAACAGTTGGTAAGGTTCGGCTATCTTATGAAAAGGTTGTCAGGTGACGCGAACGAGCCGAGCTTTGCAATTCAGTGATCGACGACAATAATGTGTATGGAAAACTGAGTAAACGGAACATTATTCAATTAGGAAAGGCAAAGGTATTCGTCAGAGATTGGGGCATCGAATTCAATACGGAACGTATGCTCATCGCATTTAGTCTACAAAACAAGTCACTGTTGGTGAAGGAAGGGGAAGTCTTCAACAGGAAGGTCCTAGGTAGATCTTCAATGGCAAGTCTGGTCAAGACTAAGGGTAAGACGCACTACGTTTCCAATTTCTTCCTGCAGGTACACGAGGGCTGTTCGGAAACTTCTTAGCCTATCAATGAAAGAGAATAGTTAGTTTCTCAAAAATATTTTTATTTTTCAATATAATCTCCTGAAACTTCAATAACTTAGTCCAACGCTTTTCTAGCAATTCTATCCCTTGATTTAAATAGTTTTCCTCAAGTGGTTTACAACTGTAATTGCATCTTCATTTGAGGTAAAGCGCTTGCCAGCAAGGAATTTGGGAACAGGTAAAATTCACTGGAAGCTAAATCTGGAGAATAAGATGGATGGTCAAGCATATCAATCAATGCGTCTGGTGTATATCATTGAATTTTTATGGGGCGTATGATTGCGGTCAATACTTATTCGCCAAATAGGTATTTTTGGTACTTATCGGTGTACTTTCAATCCAATTAATTTTTTTGAAGATCCTTCCGTAGTCCTAAATTAAAACAAGTAAAAACGTCCTTGTTCGAATCTTTTTATACCCTCCACCACGTGGTGTGCATTCAAAAATTCTATAAGTCTATCGGGACGTTTATATGGGGACTATGTCATGGTGTTATGTGAAAGTAGGTTGTTCAAGCTCCGTAAAATAGGCCCTAGCTAGAAAATTTTAAAAGGACGTTTTAACATTTATTTTTTATTCATCAGTTATTTCTATCTCAAATATTTTAATCTTTATCGTGATTTTAATAGACAGGCGGTGGTCTCCGGTGAATATTTCGATTTCATGCAAACGGAATGACAAATTTAATATACACTTCACCTTATATGTATAATAATAGTTATTCCAAAGACGTGGATTTTATTTCACCAACAATTTTGGCAAATTTTAACAAATCAATCTGAAATCCTTCAATATGAAACTTGTTACCGATACAAGAACCTTCAAAAGCGGAGTTTAACTCAGAACGTTATTATGGTTTACAAATGAAACGAGATTTTGGGTCTCAGGTTGTCACGAGTCTTTCTTTTCTATCGGGTAATAATATTTCACATAAGATTATTAAACTTGTATTCAGAATTTTGGTCCGAATCTCCTTTTGCGATTTGATTGTGCCATATCTGAATAATAATTAGGTGAATTGTATTGTTATTTGATCCACAAATGCAAGAACCATATGTACTTTGGTTCTTGTGCAATATTGCCCTCTATCATTTTGTCTAGTCACACTTTATAATAACACATATATCATTTAGAGATATTGCTACTATGAACCTTTTAATTACTTCCAGACACTAACCTTTTTGTATTCTATTCATCTGCACCAAATTGATTCTCTTATCCAGGAAAATTCTTTATATCTCCCTTTGAAAATTCCCAAGAGCAAAATATTATATTACTTACTTATTTTCTTTGGTAATTTGGGATTATTTTCAAACCATGACTGTAACTCATCGATAATTTTTTCCTGTTCCAAATCTCCTTTTACTTCCATTTTGTTAAATTTTGTATTTATTTGTTTTTTTTTTACTTTCTATAAATAAATTCTGTCAACAAAAACACACAAAACAAGTTATTAGCTAAACGGTTTTAAAGTAACTACCTACAGATTTATTTGAATGACAATTCGAAACATGATATTCCAAAATTTTTAGAATAATTCTCTTCGCATGGCTGCTCATTTTAATTTATCCCAAAATGTACTCACGGTTTTGATATTATATAATTATTAAAATATTGATCAGTTTTTGGAGATATTTTGATAATTGCAATATATACATATGTATGTATATATTAAAAATTATTAAAATATTGATCAGTTTTTGGAGATATTTTGATAATTGCAATATAGACATATGTATATATTAATAAAAATCAAATTTTGTTTTAAGAGAGGATCATGACTTTGCAAATAGTCGGGTATTAGGTGGAAATGTATATTTATAAATACTTAAATTTATACTTTGGTATGTAATTGCAAAAATCTGCTATAAGAAAATTTAATGGCCGTCCGTATGTTGACATACTGGTCGTCTATATTCGATAGGAAGCCTACTGATCTTCTAAAAGAAGACATATAACTTTTCTATAAGTCCTACAAGTCTGCTATTAGATCTACTGGTCTCCTATAAGATCAAATGATCTTCCATAACACTTACTGATCTTCTATAAGACTTACTTACTTTTCTATAAGAATACCGGTTGGTCTTCAATAAGAAGACTGTGTGCTCTTCAAGAAGACACGGTGATTTTCTATAAAAAAGTTCTGGTCTTCTAAACAAGACCTTTTGTTTTTCTAAGAGACGACCTTTTGGTCTGCTATGGGAAAACTTTTAGCCCACTTGGACTTCTATAAGAAGACTTTCGGTTCACTTATGGTACAATAATAAGGGGTCTGACCTTAACTTATTTTCTTGTATGGGAACACCTTCTGGTGTTCTTTGTGAGGACAAGGTAGGATTCTATATATATTTTTTTGGTTTAATAATAGAATTGCGAATATTTATCATAAACAATATTCTCCAATGTGATTTATACACAATTTTCGACAAACTAAAGTGACCGTTTGCTTCGAAGTGATTCCTTCATGAACAACTTTTGCTGAATAAGGATTGTTGTATCATTTTTTATACCCTCTAACACAGGTTGGAGTGGATATTATCATTTTTCGAAATTTTTACCTCGAAAAGTGCTCTATAAAATTCTATGAAAAAAATCTTCTAGGATGTTTGGAATAGCAAGTAGGATGTATCGGTTCATTTTTAGGGTAGTTCCCATTTAACGTTTTTCAACCAAATCATCCGTAATTTATTGTTTAGGCAATAAATAAAGTCAAATTGGCTTTAATTTTATATTTTGGATTTTTATTATTGACCTAATTTTCCGGGTAGCCCACATATCCGGTATGTTGAGAAGAATTAGGAACTTATCAATATAGCCCCATATTTTGACATAACGCATATACATTCTTCTAGTCCCATTGTCCGTATTTTGGAGGCTTTAATGTTTTTAAAAGGACATGACCTAAAAGACCCACAAAGACTCGAGATAGAAGGATAATATTTTTTCAAAAATATTCATCATCCGACTTGACTTTAAATAACCTTCCAAAGCCGCAAACAAATATATAATTTTTTATACCCTATACCATATTCTGGGGATATATGATATTAAGTTTGTTTTTCCGTTTGTAACTCATTGAAATAATCATTTCCGACCCTATAAAGTACACATATTCTTGATCAGCGTAAAATTCTGTCCATCTGTTGTAATCACACTATCTTCTGAAGGAATTGAGATAGAGTGCTGAAATTTTGCATAGGGTGTCTGCAGGCTGATCAAGTTCGAAGATGAGCTATATCGGCCCACGTTCAGGCATAGCTCCTATATAAGGGTACCCCCCAATTTTCCGTATTTTGGGGTTCTTAAGCGCGTTTTTCTACATTGAGTTCTTATTGGGTACCAAAATTCTCTATTAAAAATTATAAATATAGGTCCAATTTTCCATATTTTTAGAGGACTGAGCGTGTTTTTCAACCGAATTCGCTGGTATTTTGTACTCGTATTTGGTAAAAATCTCTCTCCTATAAATTATTTATACTCTCCCCCTTTTGGTGGTGGTCCTCATATAACCCCTTTTTATACCCTCCACCATAGCATGGAGGGTATATTAATTGTGTCATTCCGTTTGTAACTCATTGAAATATTCATTTCCGACTGTATAAAGTATATATATTCTTGATCAGGGTAAAATTCAAGGATGATCTAGCGATGTCCGTCCGTCCGTCTGTCTGTCCGTATGTTGTAATCATAGAGATAAGGTGCTAAAATTTTGCATAGCAGTTCGAGTTCGAAGATGGAATATATCGGTCCACGTTTAGGCAAAACTCCCATATAAGGATACTCCGCAGGCAGTTCGAGTTCGAAGATGGAATATATCGGTCCACGTTTAGGCAAAACTCCCATATAAGGATACTCCACAATTTTCAGTGTTTTGGGGGTTGTGAGCGTATTTTCCCCCGAATTAGCTGTAATTTAGTACTTTCAGTTCTAATTGAGCCATTCGCCCATTTTTTCCGGGTAGTCTTTATATAAGTCTTTATTAATTTTCGCCGCTTTTTAGGGGTAGTCCCCCCATTTTATACCCTTCACCACACTGTGGTACAGGGTATTATGTCTTTGTGTATATGCTTGGAACAGTCAAAAGGAATCGAAATAGACCCATCGTTCCATTTGATAATATGTGTAGAATCACTTTCTTAGACCGTCCGTTTGTCCGTTCGACAAATCCTATAGAATGGTGAAAATCGGTTCGTCCGATTTTTTGTAAATGGTGCACCAAAGTCCCTATGTATATTTCGATTTGAACGAAATTTTGCATTGCGTACTGAATTGAGTCTAGAATGATGTGTGCTAAGTTTCAGCTCCCATATATATTTTTGTCTGATTTCATGTAAATGGAGTACCAAAGCCCCTATATCTTTTCGATTCGCACGAAATTTTGCATAGCGCACTGAATTGAGTCTAGAGTGATTTTTACTAAGTCTAATAAAAATCGGTTCAGATTTAGATATAACTCCTATATATATTTTCGTCCGATTTTAAGAAAATTGTGAACTAAAGACCCAAAGTTTGGCCATTGGACACACAATTTTGTACAATGTTCTGAAGTTAGTATAAACTTACGTTTGTCAAGTTTTGTTTAGGTACCTACAAATAAAACTTTTTTTTTCTACAATGACAATCTTCATATTGAACCGCACCTTCACCCCCTTCCCCGCAATAAAATCCTGTGTACATTGTAGATGGCCTCATATAACTTTGCCCTCGAAATTGCAGTATCGGAGATCTCGATTGTTGGTATAGGTATATTTTTGGTATGTTCCATATATTTCCACTTCAAGTAACTATCACTATATCTATCGTGTATATCGAAAGTTCGGCCCGGCCGAACTTAACGCTGTTTTCACTTGATTAGTATTATGTTTTTACCTAATTTCTCGTCGAAGTGGCTATAATTTGGTATATCGGATACCTGGATAAAGACTACGATCAACTCCTATATAAAGACTCCATTGAAATTGTTTATAATATCCACCTTCAGCTCGTCTATAACTTCCGAAATTTCTAAGGGCTAATTTAAAATTCGCTATTAGTTTTCCATTTCATTTCTAAATATATTTATCAAAACCATATTAATATAAAACTAAAAAACATTTTAACTAGATAACATTCCGAATTGCATATGACAAATAATACACACTAAAATAGAATCTAATACATTAATCATCATCCTCGTCAAGTTCCCAATATTGTGGATCCATAAGATAATCTCTGTAACAAGATTTAGATTATTATTAATTATTTTGTATCATTATTATTTTTAGTTTTAGAATCTTTTACCTCTTTTCTAAAACTGTTTCCAAAAATTTGGCTTTCAGATCTTCCAATTTTCCTGCAGAGCCACCATATTCTTCCGGTAGCATCTCCTGGGGTATAAATTCATAGAGACTCTCTATACCCGATGTGTGGAAGTGCATCTGTAATTTAGAAATAGAAATTCAGTCAAATATTTTATCCAACTCTGCACAGATGTTGGGGAAATTTGTGTATTCCACAATACCTATAGACATTTCCGACTTACCAATTCAAAAACCCTTTTACTAACAAATGGCCTTATGAATGCCAATATTTTATTCATATAAGACGGACAATTGACCATGTGGATGGCCTTAATTCGCACCGGATAGGCCTCCTGTACAAATTTCAACATTGTTCGTAAAATACGCAATGACATGCGGCGCATGTGAGCCATACTGTGACATGACATATCACTAATGTGAACATCACCAGCTGAGAGGACGGGGACACCATCGACCACGGCATCCGGTAAACTGAAACGGCAGTCGTTCAGCATTATGTAGGTTTTAGTGTCTTCGGCATGATGCATCTAAGAACATAGAATAAATTAAATATTAAACCAGTGAGCAGAGCAGTATAGTCGAACGGGGCCGACCATATGATACCCAACACAACTACCACGAAAAGCAAACTTTCTGCGGTTCTATATTCTGAGCCTGGGCAATATTTCGTGATATTTGCACCCATTTACCGATTATAGATCAACAACTCCACTTTCTAACCCTGGCATATTTTCCAAAAATTGTTTTCTTGAAGTGAATTTTTACGCCATAAAATAAAAAATTGGTCACTTTAGGTTTTGGTTGATTTGACCCTCGGAATATTGACCGATCGTCATTTAAACAGCCGCTCTAAGTAGTTGGTCAGATCCTCTTCACCGTGTAAAATATGTGATGTTCTGCATATAATAATTGACACTAGAACGACTAAAAAATCTGACAAAATTAAAGTTTTCGGTTCATAGGCGTCGTCCTTGATTTATCGGAACTTCATGTACAATTTCAAAGCGATCAGCGCGACATTTCCGTCTTCTAATGGAGTAATAGTAATACTATGCACATAGTCAGCTTTACCGAATTACGTATAACTCCCACATCAGAGTACATACATCCATATAATTGGTATCATATTAAAGGTCAGCCACTCCTCTTCGATATACTATCAACTTCTCGGGTCTATGCCTACTAGGCGTAAATATATACGCCATAGAATCCAAATTTTGTAATTTTTCACACAAAAGTCAGGGTCCATTTGACCCGCTAAATATTGACCGATTTTTATCAAAACAGGCATGCTTATTCTTTGGCCCTATCCCCTTCTTACTTACTTACTTACTTAGCTGGCTTGTTACAGAACGGTTGTTCCATAAGCCGAGCTTAAAAAAGATTTCCAAGCGCGTCGGTCTTGTGCGCGAGTCCACCAATTTGGAAGACCACGTTCCAAGATGTTGTTTTCTACTTGGTCTTTCCATCTAATTCGTGGCCTTCCCCTTCTACGGGAACCATCAGTAGGCTCATTTTTATATGCCTTTTGAGCTGGGGCATCTTCATTCATCCGCACAACATGGCCTAGCCACCGTAGTCGCTGCAGCTCAATACGACTGACTATGTCGATGTCCGCGTATAAATTGTAGAGCTCATGGTTCATTCGACGCCGATATTCACCGTCGACGCAGATCGGCCCGTAGATCTTTCGGAGAATTTTTCTCTCAAACACCCCAAGCGCTGCCTCATCTGCTTGCGCAAGTACCCATGCTTCTGATCCATATAATAGCACGGGTAGTATCTGCGTCCTGTATCCCCTTCTCCATGTAAAATTTCACGATGTTCGGGCCATAATTGCGGTCTCTGGAGCGACCAGAAAACCCGACAAAAATTTAGTATTTGGTCCATTTCATCCCCTAAATATTAACCTATCTTTACCAAAAAAACAATAGGGGTCTTCATTCACCAGAACCCATCCTACATGCAAAATTTCGTGAAGATTGGTCCATAACTGTGGCCTGTATCGTGTTTACAAATTATAATGGACGGACGGACGGAACACATGTCTAGATCGACTCAGCTAGTCGAGATATGACGATCGGTATACTTAAAGGTGGATCTAGAAGCAATATTTCGCGGCGTTACAAACTTTTGGGGCTGCACAAAGCTATAATACCCTAACAACATAGTTGTGTAGGGTATACAAATTAATAATGAAAATAAGTATTCAAGTCTTACCAAATTCGCATCGGGATTATTTAAACGATGTACAACAATCCGATAATTTTCCTTTGTGAGACCCGGTAGTGGCACAATATCTCTGAAAAGAATTTGAATGTGAGTTTTGGTAATAATATTAAAAATTCTGTATAAAATCCTTACGCTATGGCTATGGTGTTCTTCGTATCCTGATCTGTTGGATCCCGATTTGTAAATATATATGCATTTGCCAGCCTCATTGTGTAGTTAGTTTCTAATAATTTTTTCGTCTTTTCCTCATCTTTGTGCATGCAGTAGTAAAAACGGGTCAGTAGAACACGATCTGTAAAAGAAAATAAAAATTTTGAAGGAAATATTGAAATTTATTGTTGTTTGATGGGATACATTTTATGTTTTATGTAAATCGAATCTATATGTTATTATTAATAGCTGTATATTTTAGATTATAAGAAAAACTTTCGGAATAATAAAATACAATTTAGGTAGGCATGAAGTTCATGTATAAAATCACAATCTATATAGCGTGATAGTCCAACACATTATAAGTATTATAGTAATACTGCACGTCATCGATTTTTAATTTCTATATGGAATTCTATAGTAAAAATATTCTACAATTAAGAGTCTATCTGGTTCAAAATTCTGATACCAAAATGTTCATGTTAAAGACGCTTGGATAGTCGATCGGATTATTCCAATTCGAAAACCAGAAAAATCCGCTACTAGTGAGGAATTCCACCTTCTTTCACCAGTAGCCAATGTTTTAAAGTCTCTATTGCTACCGTCCCTGAAACAGTATTTCGTTCTTGCTACCCAACAACATGGCTTCAGGGAAATATATAGCACAACAATGGTTTTGCAAGAAATTACTTCTAAGATTGCAAACGGTCTCAATCAGCGACGACAATCTGAACGGATTATTGTGGCATCCTTAGATTTATCCAAGGCATTCAATACGTTCGATCATTCCGAGTGATATCAATCGTTAACTTTTAAACTACCTATATGGTCGGCAAGCCTTTCTTGAGTTCCGTGGCCAAAAATCCAAATATCGAAAGATGAAATGGGAGTACAGCATGGTGGTGTTCTCTCTCTCACGAACTTCTTCCGGGAGCGCATCCACTGCAAAGTTTACTGTTCCACTTTTCACTTCCTGGACACGAGAAGTCAATATATTTCCATCGAAGGTATGCGCATCACCTTCGTCCATAATCCAATAATCCTTGGGCGGTCTTTTCGCATTTCAACAGAAGGTGAAAGCTAGGAATAAAGTTATGAAAGCTTTGGCTGGCATCTCCTGGGACAAAGATAAAGAAACGTTGATAACGACATACAAGATCATAGGTCGTTCCATCCTTTCCTTAGCGACACATAATAGAGATTCATGCAAACTACACAAAATAATACGCTCCAAATTGCAACCGGGTGTGCCCAGATAACGAGCCATAAATTACTACAGATGCAACAAAGTCCTACTCTAACATCATCCTTCAATTTCAGACTGTGAGATGTTTTTCCTAGGCAAACCTGTTCGATTCTGGCACAACTAAGCCCTCACAATACACAACATTTATTTAATTGTCCATCCGAACCTACAAGTCTATTTATTGCCCATAGACTTATGGCTAAAGCCAATAGAGGTGGAATAATTTCTCCGGCTACCCTCTTAAAATCCCATTTCCTAATCAATAATAAATATATTTTCCATTACATTGTAATATTTCTTTCAATATTTTCAGGAAAGAACTTTCACCGACAATTAACCCGATACAAAAACCACGGAACTCTAACTTTCGGTGGATCAATATTTGGCGATATTTGTAGCATCTGATCCGATTAGACCTGGTTGATTTTAATATTCATCGGTCATTATCAAAACAGAAATTCAAATTAGCTGTCCAGATCCCCTTCTTGGAGTAAAATTTGTCATGTTCGACTTATAGTAGCGTCCTATCGAGCATCTAGAAAACCAGATCAAAAAATATTGACCTTTTGTGGGGGAGGTACCAGAAGGAGAGGGCAGACGGGTCGCATCTTTGGATTTGATCTAGGCTCAGTAATGATAATAAATTTTGCAAAGTTTGGTTCAAATTTGACATTCCATTCGCCTGGTATTGAATTTATAAATATTGAAAATGTTAACCATTTGTGGGGAAGTTACCAGAAGGAGAGGGCCAGTGGGTCCCATCCTCCTACTTGATCTAGGCTTGGTTATTATAAAATAATTTTTTAGTACAATCTTGACCGTTTTGTTTTCGAGGGACCAGAAAGAGTGGACCCATGAGACCCACCTTTGGATCTAGGTTTAGTAATGATAATAAATTGTACAAAGTTTGGTTGAAATCAGATATTCCATTCGCCTGATATTGGATTTATAAATATTGAAAATTTTGACAATATATGGGGGAGGTACCAGATGGAGGTGATCAATGGATCCCATCTTCGGACTTGATCAAGACTTGTAAAGACAATAAATTGTGCAAAGTTTGGTTAAAATAGGACATTCCATTAGCCTGATATTGGATTTATAAATATTGAAAATGTTGACCATTTGTGTAGGTTGTACAAAGTGTAGTTCATATCGGATAGTCCGTTCGCATGATATTATAAAATTATTTTTTTTGCACAATTTTGAACTTTTTAGGAGATGTACCAGAAGAATTGGACGGAATATCGGCCCTTGAACTAAGTTTGGAAGATATACCACAATGTGCAAAGTTTGGATTAAATCGGCTACTCTCTTCGACAGTTATTGTGCGCACTAGCGATTGTAAATCGACTCCAAATTATCTGAAACGGATTTGGTCAAAAAAAAAAAAAAAAAAAAACATTGGGACTAAAAACTATATTTCGATGAGGCCAATTTTTGCGGAATTAAAATATATATACCCTCATTAGCCAAAGACTGGGTAGAAAATGTCCCAAAAAAGAGATCAATATTGACCCATGTTTTGGGGTAAAACCCATTTAACTGTACACCTCATTTTTTCGTTTGGGGTCATTTTCAACTAAATTGGCTCTAATTATATATTTCGAGTTCTCCCCAAAAATTGTCATTATCGGTCCAAGTTTTTGTATTTTGTATAGCATAGCATGGTCCGCATATGTGGAACATATACCTAGACTGACTTTCAACCATGAAAGGAATGCTGAGGAGAGGGCGAATAGGGGGTTAATTGCACATTATTCATGTAACAATTCTATAGAGAAATGCTGGGCGTATTAACACTGTGGTGAGCCTAAAAGCCTTCTATGGATCACTTGGCACTCTCTTTACAAAAAGTCGACATCTCGAAAAATAGACAAGATGCAAAAACAGCCTCGATTGTGATAACTAGAGCGGCTGCACTTAGCTGCTCTGAACGCAATGCTGAACTTAAGGTCTCTGGGTCTCAAAGTTATGTGTCAGGCAGCACGTAGTGCTCTATGTGAAATTGTGCCTATGGAATCAACGTGAACCAATGTGGGGAACTAAGCGACTATATATCTTAAGATTTGACGATGTAGACGTTGTTATCCTTAGTTGAGACGACTGGAACCGTAGTAAACCTCGTCTGGGCGGTCTGGCTTTTAATGCAGACGACTTAAAGATGGACAACGGAACTGAGGCTGGTGTCTATTGTGAAGACTAAGTGTGGAGTACTTTTACAGGTTACAAAATTCCAGGCTGAAATCTTCGCGATTTAGTAGGCAGCGGAATTGATTAAAAGTCTCGATTCTTGAACCGGTTGTAGTTGTAGCAGCCGAGTAAGACGCGGGTCGTTTCGGGTCGTAGGTTATATTAACTTCAGTACGTTGTGCCAAATTTTTTGTCAATCGGCCTACCTTGGGGTCTTTGGTGAACCATTTATCTATCGGACGAAAATATATATGAGAGCTAAATATCTAAATCTGGAGAAATTTTTAGGAAACTTAACACACATCATTCTACTCTTAATTCAGTACGCTATGCAAAATCGTGCAAATCGAAAGATAATATGGGTACTTTATATCGGACGAAAATATATATGGGAGCTATATCTAAATCTGGACAAATTTTTAGGAAACTTAACACAAATCGTTCTAGACCTAATTCAGTACGCTGTGCCAAATTTCGTGCAAATCGAAACATATAGGGTCTTTGCTACACCATTTACATTAAATCGAACGAAAATACATATGGGAGCTATATTTAAATCTGGACCGATTTTCAGGAAACTTAACACACATCATTCTATACCTAATTCATTACGCAGTGCCAAATTTCGTGAAAATCGAAAGATATATAGGGACATTGGTACACCATTTACATTAAATCGGACGAAAGTATATATAGGAGCTATATCTAAATATTGACCGATTTTCAGGAAACTTAACATACATCATTCTAGACCTTATTCATTACGCTATGCCAAATTTCGAGCAATTCGAAAGATATATAGGGACTTTGGTACACCATTTACATTAAATCGGACGAAAATATTGTTACGAATATAACTTTAGATTTAAGTTAATTTAGATTAATTCCGTTAATTTAAGAATTTGAATTGTAACGTAAATTTCTACTACGCAGTTTATTTGAATAACTTCACAACAACAACTACTGTATAGATTTTTCTACATCCTTCCATTTCCTCTTTCATTTTCTATTTTGTTATTGGTGTCAGAAGTGGGATTACGATAATACTACGATGAAATTTAAGGACCTACGAGTGGAAGACTTAAAGAAGGAGCTCAATAAATTGGAATTGTCTTCTACTGGCAACAAGGCTGAGCTACAAAAACGTCTGTTGGATGAGTTCGAGCGCCGTGGTATGAACATCGATACATATGAGTTTGACAGTAAGGATGAAGTGGATTTATCGGAAATGGGCGAATCCAACGGTGGGGAAGTCTCGTCAGTAGCTGCCAAGGGTGACGATTTCAGAGAAATGCTGGCCAAAATGTTTGAGGAAAATTTCAGAAGGTTCGAAGAGAATTCCAGAAAGTCAGAAGAAAACACGAGACGAATGTTCGAAGAGAATTCCAGAAAGTTAGATGAAAATTCGAGAATAATGAACGAGAAACTCGAGAACATTACAGAAGTTATTGGAAGGAGAGTGGAAACCGTGGAGGTCCAAATTAAAGAGTTGGATAAGAAAGTGCAGTCGGTTGACGAGAAGATTCTGTCTGTGGATGAGAAATTTCTGGTCAACGACCACAGGGTTACGAATCTGGAGAAGAAAATGTCGGAACTGGAAATTAAGGGTGGTCCGGTGCGAGTTCCTGATACCACACTAAAAATTAAACCTCCTGTATTCGACGGCTCTACGTCATTCAATGTTTTCAAGTTACAGTTCGAGA